AAGTCGGACGCTCAACCGACTAAGCCATCGGGGCTCCCCTCCAGTTTAATTCTTATATATGTAGCTGCCCAATTTTCTACCACTATTTGTGAAAAAACTTTCTTTTCTGCATTGTATATTCTTGCCTCCTTTGTCATAGAGGTTTATTTCTGGGGTCTCTATTCTGTTCTGTTGATCTGTATGTTTATTTTTGTGTCAGTACCATACTGTTTTGATTACTATGGCTTTTTAGTATATTTTGACATCTGGGATTGTGATACCTGCTGCTTTATTCTTTCTCAGGATTGTTTTGGCTATCTGGGGTCTTTTGTGGTGCCATACAATTTTAGTATTATTCTAGTTTTGTGAAAAAGTCTGTTGGTATTTTGACAGTGATTGCATGGAATCTGTTGATTGCTTTGGGTAACATGGAAATTTTGACAATATTAATTCTTCCAGTCAATGAGCATGGAATATCTTTCCATTTGTTTGTGTCATCTTCAAGTTCTTTCATCAATTTTTTATAGTTTTCAGAGTATAGATCTTTTACCTCCTTGGTTAAGTTTATTCCTAGGTATTTTCTTGTTTTTGGTGTAATTGTAAATGGATTATTTAATGTCTCTTTCTGCAATTTTGTTGTTAGTGTATAAAAACGCTACCAATATCTGGGTATTGCAGAGTTGTGTTGCCCCTTTTAAGTGCTAGTTGTATCCTGCCACTTTACTAAATTCATTTATTACTTCTAGTAGTTTCTTGGTGGAATCTTTAGGATTTTTTATGTATAGTATTATGTCATCTGCAAATAGTGAAAATTTAACTTCTTTACCAATATTGATGCCTCTGATTTCTTTTTCTTTTCTGATTGTTGTGATTAAGACTTTTAGTACTACGTTGAATAAAAGTGGTAAGAATGGACATTCTTGTCTTGTTCCTGAAAACTGTCAGTTTTGCACCATTCAGGATGATTAACTGTGGATTTTTCAAGTTTGAGGCGAGTCAGCATTTAGATGGATCTTTTCTCCTTTGTCCCCGTTCTTCCACTCTGTGTCTTTTGATTGGACAGTTTAGGTTATTTACATTTAACATAATTATGTGTATACTTATCATCACTTTAAACATTTGTTTTTCTACAAAAAGGATCTTTTTATATATATCCTTTCTGTTCCTTTCTTCCTCTCTTACGCTCTCTGTGATCAATGAGTATCTATAGTGTTTTGTTTGGATTTCTTTCTCTTTATTTTTTGTATATCTATCAAAGGTTTTGGGTTTGTGGTTACCATGAGATTCATATATAATATCCTAAATAAATAGCAGTTCATATAAATTCAATGGTCATTTAAGTTCAAACACATTCTAAAAACAAAAAACAAACAAAAGCAAAAAAATACTTTCTTTTAATACTCGCTTCTCCACATTTTATGTATATGTACTCATATTTTACACCTTTTTATTCATATTTTTCTTATGTCCAGTTATGGCCATTTCTTTTCCACTTAAAGAAGTCCCTTTAACATTTCTTGTAAGTCTGGGTTAGTGATGATAAACTCGTTTATCTTGTGTTTATCTGGGAAACTATCTCTCCTTCAAATCTGAATGATAACCTTGCTGTGCAGAGTATTCATAGTTGTAGTTTTGTTTTGTTTTGTTTTCCTTTTAGCACTTTGAATACATCGTGCTACTATTCCCTTCCCACTCTAGGTTAGGAAGTTTTCAGTTATTATTTCTTCAAATAAGTTTTCTACATTTTTCTCTCTCTCTTCTTCTGGGATTCCTATAATGCAGATTTTTATTCACCTGATGTTGCTAAGAGATCTCTTAATCTATCCTCATTTTAACAAATTCTTTTCTTTTTGCCATTCAACTTGTGTACTTACCATTACCCAGTCTTTCTGATCGTTGATACGTTCTTCTGCATCTGCCATTCTACTGTTGATTCACTTTAGTGTGTTTTTTACTCTAGTTATTGTATTTTTCAACTCTGATTCTTTTTAAAATATTTTCTATCTTGGGGATCCTAGTGGCTCAGTTAGTTAAGCATCCAACTCTTACTTTCGGCTCAGGTCATGATCTCATGGTTTGTGAGATTGAGCCCCGCATTGGGCTTCATGCTGACAGTGCAGAGCCTGCTTGGGATTCTTTCTCTCTTTCTCTCTCTCTGCCCCTCTCCTGCTGGCACTCTCTCTCTGTCTCTCAAAATAAATAAAATAAACTTTAGGAAAAAAATATATTTTCTCTTTATTGATGGTCTCACTGAGTTCTTCCATTCTTTTCTCCAGCCCAATGAGTATCTTTACAATTATTACTTTAAATTCTTTAGCAGATATATTGCTTAACTTTGTTTCATTTTGTTCTTTTTCTGAATGTTTTTTCTTGTTCTTTCTTTGTGAGCATATCCTTTCTCCATTTTGCTTGATTTGCTGTTTCTTTCTATGGATTAGGCAAAATGGCTACTTATAAAGTTGAAGGAGTGGTCTTGTGTATTCCCACTTGGTGACTTTTGCTGGCTGGTTGGAGCTGTGTATATATGTGCTAGCTACTCTTTTAAACCATGGCTTTTTACAGAAGGAATAATTAAAAAATAATAATAGTAAAAAAAGTAGAATAATAAGAGAGAAAAACATTTTTAAAAAAGGATAAAAAAGGAAAAATTAAGAAGAAATAAACAAAAAAGAATAATAAAAGGATAAAACCAAAGAGAGAGAGAAAAAAAAAGGCAAGATAAATTTTAAAAAGTAAAACAACAGCGCCCTCCAATCCTATAAAACTGTAGGTTGTTTTTTGTGTCCCAGCACACAGGGCAGATGGTGTGTGCTTATGGACCCTGGGCTCTCTGAAGTGGCAAACTCACTGAGAGGACTGGACTGCCTGACAGTGTCCAGACCCTGCTGTGGTCAAGGCTTTTAAAGTGAGGTGGGAGCATAAACCACGTGTTCTCCAGTCCCTCTGATCTGAAGAGCTTTCTTGCATCTCCTCTGCCACTTGGCAGAGTTGTGTTGTACCTTTTAAGTGCTAGCTGCTCTTTTCAACCACGGCTTTTTTTCTGTGCCTAACGATAGAGGCACAGTATCCTCAGTACTAATCCTTCCCCATTGCTATTAGGAGCTCAGGGATGGGGGTTCCCTTTGTCTCGGTCTGTCTTCCTGTTCTCTTGCCATTTTCTCTGTCTTCGGTTGTTTAGTAGCTGTTCAGTCAGCCCTCAGTTCTTCTTCAAGAGGAATTGTTCTATTAATAGGTATAATTTGGTGTGTTCTGTGGAAGAGGTGAGTTCAGAGTCTCCCTATGTTGCTGTCTTGAACCAGGACCTGTTTTTTTCCCCTGCTACATTCTAATTAATGTAATGTATTACACTGATTGATTTTTGTTTTAATTTTTTAATGTTTATTTATTTTGAGAAAGAGAGAGAGAGAGAGAGAGAGAGAGAGAGAGAGAGAGAGAATGTGTCTGAGCAGGGGAGGGGTACGGAGAGAGGGAAAGAGAGAATCCTAAGCAGGTTCCACACTGTCAGTGCAGAGCCTGACATGGGGCTTGAATTCACAAACTGTAAGGTCATGAACTGAGCCAAAATCAAGAGTGGGATGCTTAACCGACTGAGCCATTCAGGCGCCCTTGATTGATTTTTGTATGCTCAACTCTAGTACATTATTTTAAATTCTCAACACTTATTTCAACTGTGGCTGTTACTGTCAGTTGCAGTCAGGCTTTGGCTTATTTTATGGAGATGCAAATTAATAATGTCTCACTCACACATGGCATGAGACCACCTGTAGAAACCTGTTTGGCAATCATATATGAGAAACTTGGAGTTGCAATGTAGGTGGCAACATTCAGAGTGCCCTTTGGCCTTTGTGGAATGGGAGCCTGTGGATTAATGTTTCCCCTTTTCTTCCTTTGGGGACAAGGTTCTAAAGTCAGTTCCATAAGGCTTCTTAGAAGGTCTTACTAGGTGAAGCAACCAGTGGCTTACACTGACTTGATTATACATCCTTGTATTTATTTGTTCTCCTTCTGGTTTCACTTATCCCCTGATCATACTTTCTGGGACTGCATTCAAATAAACTACTCACTTAGAAGCATTTTGTTTGATTCTGATTTCGGAGAAACTCAGGAAAATAAAGAACTAAGGAGTCTGCTGTACGTGTTTAGTGACACTGCATGAAGTAGAGGGAACTGACAGGACATAGTGCAGCTCCTAGCGCTTGGTCTCATGCTTTTACTAGATGTTACAAAGTGCTGTACAGTTGTTGGATTTTATTTCTGAGGACCCTGCTACTGATTTTTTTAATCTTGATTTTCAGGTTTAAGGTAGTCCCTTAGCTCACTGAAAGTTCTTTGTTTTTGTTTTGTTTTGTTTTCATTAAAGCTTTCTGCTTTTCTCCTTTGACTATGGGAAAATATTCTAAAGTAATTGCCTTCATTAATTAAAAAGGAGTAATTACCTGCAAAGTGAGTAAGAAAGGTGGTTCTTAAGTGTATGTGAATTTTGAGTGAATGGGAACTAATAATTAAAATAACAAATTTCATATTTTTAAAATATCATATGTCAAATGCTATGATTAATTTTAATCCTAGCATCTCCATCATGAAGTAGGTGCTATTATTATTCCATTTTTATCTGCAAGAAACTATTCCAACTCATACCAGTTTCTCAAAGCTTGTCTTCTTAACTACTCTATTAGACATTTTAAGATGTTCTTTCTGCAAATGAATTAAAGTTTTAATTATAAAATTCATGAAATGTTTGAATAAATCTTCATGAAAAGCCAACATCTTATCTGAAATTCTATCCTTCTTGAAATGAAAACTGAGGCTAACATAAATTCCAGAGGAGTAAGTTTCTGACATAGAAGATCTGGTGTCAGGGCATGGGGCTATTTTTGATGAAGTCTTGAAATAACAAAGCATAACAAAAAATGGACTTGATTCTCTTGATGGTACACTCAGAGTTTAAAAATATCAGAGTTGCTCCTGTGTCTGCACAGACAGAATCTGTAAATTTTAATTTTTTGTCATTTGGCTTCTAGATGTCCTTGGCGTGTGCACCCTTGTGGAATCCGGTTCATCTCCAATCTGTCAAGAAGCATCAGAGGTGGTTTTGACTCCTCATGTCCTGAGCCTGTGCACAAAATGTGTGAGTACACTGAGATAATGAGGCCAATTTTACCCTTGTCGAGGGTCTTCTAAAATGATTTTATAATGGTTCTTGTATTGGAATTAATTACCTTGTAGTTTTAGACTCAGGAAGGAAGGGCAATGTTTGGTTAAGATTAGAAAATATCTGGGGTGCCTGGGTGGCTCAGTTGGTTAAGTGTCTGACTTCAGCTCAGGTCATGATCTTGCCATTCCTGAGTTTGAACCCCATGTCAGGCTCTGTGCTGACAGCTCAGAACCTGAAGCCCGGTTCAGATTCTGTGTCTCCTTCTCTCTCTGCCCCTCCCCCACTCACTCTTTGTCTCACTTTCTCTCTCAAAAATAAATAAACATTAAAAAAATTTTTTAAAAAAGATTAGAAAATATCTTCCTTGGGGAATTGTCTTATGTGTACAGGCTCATTCTTTGCCTCAGAAAGGCTTTGATGGACATGACTCTGAGTTAAACCCAAGAGGTTTACCTCAGTGAGAAATAAATAAATAAATAAATAAATAAATAAATAAATAAAATTAAAAAAGAAAAGAAAAAATTCAGTACATTATTAAATAGTTTGAATATTAGCAAATTATAGGCCATATAATTTATTCATATAGGAAACTTTCCCATTGCATACTAGCATCCCCTTCGTCCAGTTTTTAAGAAGGTTACATATTAAGATTACCTCTCTCTGCTCTTGAGACAGGGTACTATCCTCTCAAAAGAAACCCAGAACTTTGAAACATTTTCTAGTTAATTTAGTGTTTCCATCCATAATTTGGAACTTTTGGTGCTTCTGGAAATTAATTTGGGGATTGTTGTATATATTTGTACCATTGAGCATTGTGCAAATGGTTGTTTTTGCTTTGGGATGGGTTATTTTGAGTAGATAGAGAAGAAGGAGGAGAAGATTTAGGTTTTGTGTTTCTTATTTCTAGGGATTCAGATGATTATTTTGGACAAAAGTTTGTGAATTTTGAGCCCGTTACTGAGTTTTCATTGCATTGTGATGAACATTTGCTTCGTTTGTTGGAAACTGGAAAGGAGCTGAATAATAACCTAGTCAAATTTATTTAATTTTGGAAAATAGCATAATTTGACTAACTCTATGTAAAGTTAAAGAGGTTGGTTTTGGAAATAAAAGGTTGCTTTTTATTTTCACTAAATAAATCTATTTCACTTAGTTGGATACTGATCCTCTTGTGCATTCCTGACCCACAATGTAACTTTCTGTCTTTCTCCTTTTGATTTACCCAAAACAGAAGGCCAATTTCCCGTGGCAGCCGGGCTTCCTGATGAAGTCTGAATTTATGAGCTAGTATGTTTGAAGTGTTTTGGGAAGATTTGAGTTGAGTCTAGATTGAGGTGAAGGAGAAAGTGTTTCTTTTTATACTTGCAGACTCTTCCTGTAGGAATGAAAATGTAATCAAGTGCTTTTAATTAAAGAACAATCAGTAAATAGCTAAGTAGGGAAGTTTCCCATGAAATCTTGTTCTATTTATATTGCTTATGCTTTGTTACACATACCCATTTAGGGATTGTTGCAGGGAATAAGTAGCCACTAAAAACTAGCCCAAGTTAAAGTTTTATTGTAAGACTTTTGGGGAAACTCAGGGGACCTGAAAATTATGGCTAGAATTTTAATTTCTAGCCAGTTTTTTATTTTAGGAGAAAGGTTAAACATAACAGTTCATTTTCTTATTTTGCTCCACATTGTTAAAGAGAGAGGCACATCTGTGACATTGATTTCCATAATGAGAATCAGGTACGAATGACACCTCCAACAAGCAACAATTCTTTCTACATAATCTAGCTGTCAATGAAGAAGTATGTCAGTATATTTCAAGAGCTTTTCAAATAAATCAATTAGCAAAACTTTGTCAATAGAATTGATTTTAAATATTTCCTTCAGAGTTTCCTGCAACCATGCCTTCAACACTGAAAAGTGATGGAATTTGCTTTTGGATCAGCCGGTGAACACACTGAATCACTTCTTTGAATTTTCATATTTCCATATCTTTTCCCTTTAATAATCTGTGTGTTTATTCTTCAACTATCACCCTTTTCCATGTTAATACATGAGATGCATCAAATCCTTGTTAACTTTCCTTAATTATCTTTTAGTTTTCATATTTCTGTCCAGATACCTGATCCCATTCATATTCCATAATCTGTTTTTTTTTTCTCTTTCATGCTAGAAGATTTCTTCATGTGTTTGGTGATCCTTGGCTGTGTCTCTATATTTGAGAGTAAGGACCTCATACTTATTTGGAAAGCCTATTTATAATGGAAATGCATTACTACCATGTAATAAGGTGGTAACATAGCTTTTTAATTTGGAGCCCCTACATCTCGTGGTTTATGTGTTTTCTCTGGACCTTATAATTTGTCTAGAGAGGACTTCTCCAATTTTATGCTTGGAGAGTGAACGCCTAGTGGTCCATGTTCTGGACACAGCCAGAAAATGACCTGCAGTTCCCCTTGTTCAATACAAGGTTTTGCACTTCATCCCCTGTTACTCAATAAAACATCTTACCCTGTCATTCACTATACAAATCTCTACAGTATAAACCTCTGATCGTCTGTTGGGGTAAGGAAAGGGATCCAGCATCTACTTATGTCTTAGGTAGTAGTCGTCCTTCAAGTAGTCCTCTTGTTTCATTCATACACTCTTTCCCCATTATATGTATGCATATAATGTATATTGTGTGTATATAAATGTATATATACACACACACACACATACATACTCACACATACACATACCTTCAGAGTATATATACCATATATACATATGTATACCTTCAGAGACACCTAGTGTCTTGAGAGTTTCTGGGCTTTTTGGTAGAATTGCCAGTTTCTTACTGGCTTCAATTTAAAATGAGGTTTCAGCTTTATCTGGTTTGGTAACAGTCACTGTTCATCCATCTGTCTTCCAACATTTCAGAAATGTTTTTGATATTGCTTATCTGGTATGTTCTCTCCTATTTTTCATCTTTAGATTTATTAGTTTTAAAATTCTCTCACATTCAGTTTAGTGTGGTTTTGTAAGGATAAGGAATAAGTAAATGCATGCATCCACCGTCATGCTTAATCAGAAGTTTGTAAGGTATCTTACATGCAAAAGATAGTGATACCTCTATAGTGTGACATTAATGCTATTTAAAATGTTATCAGTTTATCACTATAATACCTGCAAGTTAGGAGAGGGCATAAATATTATGAAAGCATAAAGGCCTGCCTTTTCCAGCTGTCATGCTGTTTTCTCAGTAGAATAGCTAATTCACCTGAAACCTTTACACAGCCTCCTGCCTGAGTTCTCCAGTTTTACTTTGTAGATCCTTCTGTTGTGATACTACCTTTTCCTCTGTTTATCTTTTTTTTTTTTTCACTAAGCTCCAGCTACTTAAAGGCAAATATTAAGCCTTATTCATCTTTGTACTCCCTGAGCTTAGCACAGTGTTTGCTTTGCATGTAGTAGGTACTCCATACATGTTTTCTTGAAAAATGTTGCATGAATGTATTAATAATGTGTCCACATTTTCAAGGAACCTTTAATATGTCATATCTGAAGTAATTACTCCCCAGTCTTTTCTTCTTCTCTTCTTCCTACCTCCCCCACTCCCAGCAAGCAAGATGTACTTTTGCTCATTACTTGAACTATAAGAAATATGGGTATATTTCACTATATTTCTATTGCCTACCTAGTTTTACAATTTAACCAGAGCTTTTGAATCATTTGAGGTGTTTTACTTTTCAAAAAAAAATTTTCTCCAGGATGAGGCAACATAATATTTTATATTTTGGCCATTTAGTGGCATTTTTACCTGATAGGATAAAGATGGATAGTATAAGGTAGTGGCCAGGCTTAGACATATTTGTTAATTTAATTCAAGAGTTATTTACTGCTATTTTATGACTGAGTAATATTCCATCGTATATATATACCACAACTTCTTTATCCATTTATCAGTCAGTGGACATTTGGGCTCTTTCCATAATATTGCTATTGTTAACAATGCTGCTATAAACATTGGGGTTCATGTGCCTCTTTGAATCAGTACTTTTGTATTCTTTGGGTAAATACATAGTAGTGCAATTGGTTAAATAGGTGATGGGCATTAAGGAGGGCATTTGTGATGAGCATTGGTTGTTGTATGTAAGCAATGAATCACTAAATTCTACTTCTGAAACTAATATTACACCATATGTTAACTAACTAGAATTTAAATTAAAACCTGAAAGAAAAAAAAAAGAATATTTACTGCTCATGTGCTCAGGACATTGTACTGAGTACTGTTTAAAAGTCAAAATGACGGGGCGCCTGGGTGGCGCAGTCGGTTAAGCGTCCGACTTCAGCCAGGTCACGATCTCGCGGTCCGGGAGTTCGAGCCCCGCATCGGGCTCTGGGCTGATGGCTCAGAGCCTGGAGCCTGTTTCCGATTCTGTGTCTCCCTCTCTCTCTGCCCCTCCCCCGTTCATGCTCTGTCTCTCTCTGTCCCAAAAATAAATAAATGTTGGAAAAAAAAAAGTCAAAATGAGTAAGAAAAAGTCCTTCCATTAAGAACTTTACACTACAATAAGTGGAAAAAAATAGGATGGTACCTTATAAAAAGGCGAAAAATAGTAAGTGCTATGGAATTCAGAAGAGAGAGAACTCACAAATATATGGAATCATGGAATCATGAAGGGTGTTTTGGGGGTCAGTAATATTTCAAATTATGCTTTGAAAGATAGTGGAAAGGAGAGTTAATCCAATGGAAAGGATGAGAAAGAGGAGTAAGAGGCAAGACAAAAAATAACTAGATGTGTTTGGTAATAGGAATTAACTAGTTCATTTGGCTGGAGAGTAGAATAGTGGATATAAGGATATATAGAAGAAAGAGCTGGAAAACATAGGCTAAGTCATTTTGTAGAGGACTTTGGATGTCAGGCTAAGGTATTTTTGCTCAGTGAAGTAGTTAACAGGGAGACACTGAAGGTTTTAAGCTTGTAATATTTGAA